TAAAAAAAAAAAAAAAGGGATAAAAACCGGTTTTCAAAACAAATTAAAATTCCATACAGTGTCTAAAAGATCGCCTAAAAACTAAACATTGCCTTAAAAAATTGTTTTTCCCCATTCAAACACATTTAACGAAGTGAAACATCGTGACAAAATAATATTAATAATAATAATAATAATAATTCATGGACTAAAGACTTCAGAGCAGCCGCCCTGCTCCTGGGGGGACAGCAGGGAGGGGTCAGTGCTGCCATCCTGGCTCAAGCAATGGCCCTGGGCCACCTCTGTGTGTCCCCAGGGTGGGGGGACACTCCTGGAACCCCCGTCCCTGCTGAGCTGGGGGTGCAGAATGGCCTCATGGCCACCCCTTGCCCAGCCCTGAGGTCAGAATTGCATCCCAGGACACAGAGGGGGAGCCCCGGGCAGCTCCTGACCCACGGACACAGCCACGCACGGACACACGGACGGTGCTGCAAAATGGGGATTTTTGGCTCCTGTGCTTTCACAGCAGCAGCTTTGGTGGCCACAGGGACCCCCAAAAACCGACAGAATGTGGGGGAAGGTGGCTCTGCTTCCCTGAGCCGCTCCGGAGCCTGGAGCCCATCRCTGGCCAGCACCCACACAGGGAACACGCTGTCTGCCTTTCAGCTCTACAGTAGTTTTTAAAAAATATTTATACGTTATTTAACCCTAAAAAGGTCACCACAGGAGTTTGCCATGTCTTTGGAAGGAAGGAGAGGAGGACAAAAAAAAAAATATATATATAAATCAAAACTGTTTCACAAAAGGAAAATAAAAATCCGATTATTGGCGGCGTTCACCTACAGGACAAAAAAATCCCTGGCTGCAGGTGTGGATTTGAGGGAGGGGATTTTACCACCTGCTCCAGAAAGGTCAGAAACACAGGTGAGTAGCTAAAAATAACTAGTCTGGTATAAATGTCTGAATTCCATGCGCTCAATAGAACAGTCCGTTTATTTTTGTCTTTTTTTTTCTTAAAAAATATATATATATAGTTATTGCTTTCTGGAGGGCCGGCGGGCGCCCTCAGTGGGGCAGCGCGGCAGGCTCGGTGGGGTTGGCTTTCTTCCTCCTCTTCATCAGCAGAGGGTTTGAGGAATCTTCAATTTTCTTGATCTTGATTTGTTCRTAGTCCACTCGCATGGTGGCCAGGGCACTGGTCATCTCCTCCTGTGGATAGGGGCACAGAGTGGTCAGCAACACTCCCCAGAGCAGCTGGTCCAAGCCTGAGTGTCCTT